ATATATATAAAAAAAAATTAAAATTTAATAGTAAAAATTCATAAAATATTCGATTTTTTTGGATTTGTGGGCCACTGAGACATTGTATGTAGATCTTTTTCGGCTATAATATTCTCATGACCTCCTACTATCAGCTATATGAATTTTATCAACAGTTAAAAGAGTAGTTGATAATAATCTTGAACCCAAGGGTAGTGATTAAATGTGAAATTAAGCAGTGTATTAATGAAAACAATTAACGAAATACGAATACTTTTTTTAGGTTTTATGTCACCAAAACTCTTGAATTACTATTTTCAGCCTTATTTCAGTGAAGCCTTACGAATCTGCAAATGAATGTGAATAGATCTTGTAAGTGGTTAAACACAGAATAATCTAGCCTAAGGGTAGCATTTTGTGCAAAATCAACTAACACATGTTTTTTTTTTGGCTTTATAGTTACTGGAGCTAGTTAGACACTTCTTTGATTTTCCAGCCGTAATGTTTTACAAGCATTTTGTACAAACAAATAGGCTAAAATAATTGAGCCCAAGAGTATTTGAATATAAGATTAATCAAAGCATATTAATTTTGTAGTTTACTGTAAACGTCTCATGGAGTTTTTGGTTGCAAGACTCTTGTAGTATTCAAGGTTTCTTGGTTCTGTCATTCTTCGTGTATATTAAAAGAAGTTTTAAGAACAATAACTTCAAGAATTGATAAAACGATGCGGGTATGTGTTTAAAAAGACAATTGAACATGATTTTAGTGATTATTAATGATAATTTAAGCATCACAGATCAGTTCTGACGAAGCTATTAATTCTTTTTGACAGTTCTTGGAGAATGTGGTCTTTTATAAAGAATTAGCTAAAGATGAGAACTTTGGTGCAATATATGAACTAGCAGAATGCTATGTTCATAGTAATGGTGCATCTAAAACGAGGAGGAGAAAACTTTGGTGCAATATATGAACTAGCAGAATGCTATGTTTGTGGTAATGGTGCATCTAAAATGAAGAGGAGAGAACTTTGGTGCAATATGCGAACTAGCAGAATGCTATGTTCGTGATAACGTCTAAAATGAAGAGGAGGGAACTTTGGTGCAATATACGAACTAGCAGAATGCTATGTTTGTGGTAATGATACACCTAAAAATGAAAAGGAGAAACTTTGATACAATAAAGTAATAACGGTTAAACTAGAAATGAAAAGAAGGCTTTTAGTTCTTTATATGGTGTGAAAATAGAACATAAAGTTCTTGCATTATAATTTATAGTTACTTCATTTCTTTCTTTTTATTTTATTGTAATTTAAGTTATTAATCGGTCATGTATCAATATAAGATAGATAATAATATATTAAAATAGTTTTATACTTTAAATACTGTAAAAATTGCCAGATAACCAATAAATTATAAGATATTCGATTTATTATGATTAATTCAAAATATAATATATTGGAATTATTATAATTATTATTTTACAATTGAAAAATAAATAATTTATGACACCAGTTCATGCTTAAAAAGTATTGAAACTATATTTGTCCTTCACGCTCAAAAACTTGATGTTTTGGATTTGCTCAGCCGAGAGATAAAAAAGTTTTTGTTTTTTTTTAGCTTTTTCTATTACAAAATTAAAATTCTCCAAAAAAAAAAAAAAAATGGTTTCATCACAAAATCCCGACATCAAAATGGTATTCAAAATAATATCTAAAATCCCAACAAGTTAAAATACCATATTTCAAGATTTTGGTAATATCAGGATTTTAGTTGTCTGGATTGGGTGTCGGAATTTTAGTATTGTCGGGATTTTGGATATCATTCTGGATGTCGGGATTTTGGATATTATTTTGGATGTTAGTCAGGATTTGTGTTAGAACAAAAAAAAATATAAAAAGACCCTATTTTATCTCAATTCATAAATCAAACATCAAATTAAATCAAACTAACAAAAAAAACTATTAAAATAACAATTAAAAATACCACTATCAAATAAAAT